TTTCCTTTCATTGTTAGGAGGTTTGCAATCAATTTTGAAGGAGGCCTGAGAAAACATTGTGTGTAGTGAGAAAGCAAATACTTTTGAGATGTATAAATTGTTTAAGAGAAGGTTAAATTACGTGGTAACAGAAAGTACCTAGAATTAAAAAAAAAGTTACTTTTTACATTTCTTATGATGTTAATACAGCAGAAAAATAACAAAAGAAAATACACTGCCTGGGTGCTGAAGCAAAACCAATTCAGACAGGAAAATGTGAATATATTTAATACCAGATAATATTAGATACTGGATTAAGAAGAAGCTGTGCTTCTTCTTGCTGTGTTTCACTTTTATATGAAGGCTACATAGTTTTTAGTGAGTGGATCAGAGCTCAGACAGATGTCTGCCAGAACAAGTTCTTCAGTCCTTGCTAGTGATCTAGTGATCAGCTGAGGTAATCAGAACAGTTCCTTTTGCAGAGAAAACGGACTAATTTCTTAGTCACTTGGCCACTGACTATCTGCTACTGATACTGAAGTACTCACACAGGTATTACTGCTGTTCTATAGTTCAAGAGTCTAAATATATTATGTAGTGAATTCCAGTCGGGGCTCAGAAATGCATGGTGCATCCAGCAGGGCTTTTCATGTTGCACAGATTATTTTATACAATCTATGAAATTATATTGTCATTTTACAGGAGGGTTGCCTGATATGCTGAACATCATCTCGGTGTAAACAAGGATGAACAGTGCGCTCATGAAAACACAAATGTTCTAAAGTCATAAAACTGTGGGTTTTTTCTGTTGATATGCTTTACCTTTCCCTCTAAATATATTGTTTCTTACTTTTCATAATTGTCCTTTTAAAAGAAGAAAGTAAACATGAATGTATTTTAAAAAGAACTTTAGGAAGTACAGAGAGGAATTTTCTGTATGAGCTACTTAATGGTTTCAATTTGCATGCAGCAGTAAAAATAGAAGCTCAGCAACTGATTTCTGTATTGCAGTTTAGGAAAACATTACACAATTAATTTTACATAAGACTTGCAAAAAATCTGGTTTAATCAGGATATGTTTAGGACTGTTAAACAGATTCAGAATGCTAAGCTATGCCATATACTTAAGTGACTACAACAGTTAGTACCTTAGAAAACTGAGTTCCATTTCAAAAACATGAATCACTACCTGACTTTTTTCCCCCACTGAGTGATCCCATCTTGTCTGCAATACTTTCACTGAAATATTTTTATCAGGATAGAGAGTATGTTCTGTGCTGTTGAAAAGAGTATCTTTTCATTCCTTTTGTTTTAAGTATCAGAGATTTCCAAGGCTTTAAGAATTTTGATTTATAAAAGAAATATTCATTAACTGTTGAGTAAGGATGGTTGTCTTAAGAATACAGGCTTGCAGACTGTTTTGCTAGAATGACCTTTCCAGCAATACACATCTATATATTGCCTTGTGAATATGCCAGACAGTAATTTAAGGCTGTGGGGGAAGAGAGAACTATCCTTTCTTCCAATTTATACTGAGCAATGCAGAAGTCTTCAGAAATAATAATCCTTAAATTTGTATGTTAAGATTCTCCAGTTCTGCTTACTTAAACATTTTTTCCCAATTAAAATTAATGTTAATTTTACAGCCATATAAGCAACATTTACATGTTTAAGTTCATTTGCATACTTAAAAATTCAAAGTTTACTAACCTGAAAAATAAACAAAACAGAGTCATGCTTCTACAACTTGTTCATTGGTCTGAGTTTTACCCTATAAAATTAATGGCTTCTTGAGATACTAAAATTATTCTTATGTACAGCATACTTACAGTCATTAGAATGTATGTTTGTTCTTTCATGGTGTTATTACAAAATAATGACGTCTTTGTATAAGATAGGCTAATCAGTAGATTTCTTTCTCATTTTAACAGAGGTGCTCTTGAATTATTTTGCTTCTTGAAGGTCATTTTTTGAAGGCTCAAAAATGAAACAGTACAATTTTATTAGATGTTAGGGAGAGATTTACTGTGAGACACTGGCACCGGTTGCCCGGAGAAGTTGTCTCATCCCTGGAAGTGTTCAAACCAAGGCTGGATGGAGCACTGAGCAACCTGTTCTAACCTGTCTACCTACTCATGGCAGGGGGGTTGGAACTAAATGATCTTTAAGATCCCTTCCAACCCAAACCATTCTGTAATTGCATCACTTTTGTGAATAATTTCTTACACCCATTTTTTAACTCCATGTTCTTATGCTGTCTCCACTCTTTACTTTTTCCTAGAAAAAAAGTGATACTTTTATCAAGACAATTTTAAGATATGTTGGTGTATTTTATTTTTTTTTATTCTGTAATATTTTCTAAAAATATATCCTTAAAAGTAAAAAATATTTTTACTCTTGCAACAATGTTTTATATGCATGCTAAAGCTCTGTAAACATAAAGGTGACACTATTTATAAGCATAAATTAATGTTCAGTGATCAAAACTGGATAATCTGAAAAGCACTAGTTTGTTTTGGATAAAGGGATGGAATATAAATAAAAACTTTCATGGGTTGAGACATTTTCTGAAGTGTATGTGTAGGAAAGATAAATTGCAATTATGGTATAGCAGGCATGGTTCATCCTCTGTATCAAGTTTTAATTTCTTAAGCTTTATTTTAATAGCACTGGTTTATGTTTAGCATGTGTTTTATACTTTATTCTTTGAACTTGTAATGCTTTTTTTGAGTAATCCAAAAGATGTGCTTAAAATTAAGTGATACAATTTTTTTTTCTCCTTTTTTGAGGATGTTAGAGATTTGTAAGAAAGGCATGCTAATTATGACCAGAATTATGTCCGTTTTCCTACTTGTGCTTTTGTAAACATACATGAACTGCATAATATATTATAAAATTTAGTTTTGTCATTCTGACACCAATGAAAAATGGCCTATTCCTTTTCAAGTGAAGAAAATTAATAAGTAGTGAAATGATGGAAAATTTTGTGTTAGCTTTAGAAACATCTCTACTATAGAATTACTATTTTTGCAAGCATAGCAGTTATGCATCAGAAGCTTTAAATGTTGCATAGTGAGCATAGCAGCTAATGAGATGAATTGGTCCTGACTGGTAGAATTTCAGAAAGCCTATACTTCTGATATTCATAAATATTTAGGTCTAATTGAAATCGAAATCAAGTGTCTATAAAAATGCTGGTGTCAAATAGAACAGATCTTTTAGTTTCCCTTAGGTTACAGTATACCATGAGAGCATGATAGATGAAAAGCTTGTTTTCTGTTTATATAAACATAGATTTCTCCACAGTTGCAGTACTTGACTAGGTATAGAAGTACTATGCCCCATGGTTCTTGGTTCCCCGCAGGAATTACATCCTGTTTTGGAAGGCTTACAGTATTTTTAGTATGTCATACATTTACTCATGGCAGAAAGGTAAAAATATGTTTCAGAAATCATTTCACTTTTTGCATCACCATGAACAAGGCAGAGCAGACTGAAATTTCCCTGCATGTCTTTGCTCTGTAGGTTGCGTTGATACTGAGAGATGCCTCTGTTATGCTGAGTTGCTAATATCCAGAGAAGCCTGGAGCTGAGACAGGGATAGCTAGCAGAGGTCTTGAGAACCTCACAGTGACCATTTTGCTCTGTGTGCCACATGGAGGAGATTCAGCTGGTGCTGCGTTTCCCAGGCTGGTGCTGCACTCTCAGCTGGCTGGTCTCTTTGGGTCTCAGTGTGCCGTCTGCAAAATGCAGGATGTACTCTCCTAATTCAGTGTCATGGATTGACTCTGGCACAGTGCCAGTGCCCCCATGAAAGGTGTATCCCCCAAAATGGTTGCTGTGAGATGTGACCCGGGAACAGAACAAAGCAGGCTCTAACTTGGGAATGGAGGGAAAAGACAACACTTTATTAATCTACACAGACACAAAAGGGAAGGGAAAAAAACTACACACACAACAATCCACAATAGAACACTTTCAAAACACTCCTCCTCCTCCCCCCAGTCCTCTAACATTCAAATCCCCTCTAACACATCAATTCTCAACCCAACACCCTCCTTTCACACAAGCACCCCCCAGTCCATCAGGAGAGAGGAGCCTCCCTCCTCCACCATGGGCCTCTCTGTTCCTTCGGCTTCTCCTCGCGGCCTTATCATTCCTGGCGTCTGGCCAGCCACCTCTCCCAAGGTGCAGTCTCTGCATTAACGGAAGAATCTGGCTTCGCCCGTGGCTATGTCAGAGAAAAGTCCGGCTAAAGCCACTCCAATCATCTCCTCCATCTCGGGTGCTCTTTCTGCTGGCATTCTTTCACTTACTCAAACCTTCTTCATCTTTCCCATTCTCCATCCCTTCTCAATTTCCAGCTGAGGAGGATTAGTGTTTTTACAGCTTCTATTGTTTCAACACTAAAAGGGTTAAAAGCACAGCCTGTCCTGGCAGCGGCTGGGCACCTTGCCCACCCCTTCTCCTCCCGACCGCTTATCCTTCTCTCCGGGGGGGCTGCCCAAACCATCCCAGGTACTCCTCCACCCCTGCATCTTGCAGCGGCTCCGGCTTTCCCTCTCTCAGGCTGCATGGCCTCCCCCCTCCCCCACCCAGACACAGCTGGGGGGGAAGAGGATCCGATCCGCTCACCTGCCGGACTCCAAAGAGAAAGTCTCTCTGCGAGTGCTCTGCTTTTAACCCCTGTGTGTTCTCAGAGGCGTATCCAAGTCCCCAGTGGCCACACCAGGTGCCAATCTGAAATTTGGCCACTGATTGGTTTGACCATAACTTCCCAAAACCTCACTTCCGGGTCAAACCATGTCATTCAGACATGTGCAGGGAGGATAGGTACATTTTTACAGTCTAAATGGTTTGAACCCTGCAGCAACACCCATGCTGAGAAATCAGGCCTTGCAGAGCTACCCCGCCATAGCAGGCTGGAGGTCTCTGCACGCCCTTTTACCCTTCTTTCCCTGTTTGCACTTGCAGTTTACTGTGCATGTTTTCCTTTCAAATAATTTATTTCTCTTTTCTAGTTTGAGGGTTGCAAGAAAGCCTTTTCCAGACTAGAAAATCTCAAGATTCACTTAAGGAGCCATACGGGTGAAAAGCCGTACCTTTGCCAGCACCCGGGCTGCCAGAAAGCTTTCAGCAACTCCAGCGACCGCGCCAAGCACCAGAGGACACACTTGGACACTGTAAGGACACAGAAGTCCCACTGCAGCACTCTGAACATTAGAGCATCTGCTCCTTTCCTCCAGCTTGGTGACAGCAGGTAGCCCATAACCTTAGAGACAGGAGGGTGGATGGTCTGATGAGGCTGTTGAAGCTGCCTCAAAAGTGACCCACTCATCTAAGCGTGCAAGAAGATGGACCCAGGCTGATTGATAAAAAGACCACAGGTTCCATGGTCTTTGCTGCAGGTAGAAGCAGTAGCTTTCTCCCACTTAGTTGATCTTTAAGGAAATTGAAGCCATCTGCAATATAAAGAGCTTTTCTTTGATGAAAAGTTAAGAGTGGGGCATGTACCAGAAAGTCAAGAGAGATAGAATGATTTCATAAATCTAAAAATTTTTGTGCCAACAGATTGTCCCTTGTAAATTTGAGTGATGGCTGAGATTTGTTTAAAAAGCTCTGTTTCAGAAAAAAAAAATGTGTTTTTTCAGAGACAGTTTCCAAAGGGTGGAAGTCCAGAAATATGATTAAAACAATGCTGTTTGAATTAAATGGCTGTTAAAAAAAAGTAAATTATCCATTTTGAATAGTCAAACCTATGGCTGGCAAGTTAGTAATTTGTGCAAGATGTTTTCAGAAATTCTTTGTAGAACATAAGTGAATACATTGCTGAATAGCTACTTCCATGAAACAGTTGGACCTAATGTTCTTTTGATACTATATATTGTGAATCTACAAGTCTTCAGGCAAGACAGACAGCTTAGAACAGGCAAGATAAGGTATTTATATGAGTTAGATTTATTGGGCATTCTTTTAAGAAAACCATAAAGGTATTGCAGGACATTTTATAGGTATTTTTCTAAATGAAGTATTGTAGAAAATGTGAGCTGAAGGAGTTGGTCAGTTCTTCACATTAAAATGTTTGGTTTTTTTAATGTAATACTTTTGATACTTCAGTATTCAATGCTTGGTTGAGGTTTTGCTTGCCTTCTTTGTAATATAGTAAACTAACACATTTTCTTGTTCTCTTTTTCTGAAGCGGATCCTTCTATAATCCTAAACAGTCTTTCCGGGCCTTTACTGCAGTTTCTTTACCTGATTCACTAAAGACTGTAATTTCTGATTAAGTCAAAGATTGCTGAGGGTGGAAAAATTGTAAGTATATCTAGCAATGTTCATCGTACTACTAAGAAAAAAGAAAGGTAATCATGAAAGGTGCTGTAATTAAAACTTTCCTTTTGTTTATCTTCCTTTAAAGCTTTACTTCATCCTTTCCTATTCTAACAACTTGTGAAGCTTTCTGCATGTAATAATGTACAATGTTTTTGTTCTGTAGTAATGTGGTTTGGAGCATCCCAAGGCTCAAAAAGTATTCTCTTGAGTTAAAATAATCTGTGATATAACAGTAACTTTATTTTTTTTTTTTTATTTAGAAACCTTATGCATGTGAGATTCCAGGATGTACTAAGCGATACACAGATCCAAGTTCCCTGAGAAAACATGTGAAAGCCCATTCTTCCAAAGATCAACAAGTCAGGAAAAAGGTGATTTTTCTGCTGTCTTGACTGGTGTAAATTTTATGTGAAAAAATCAGTGTTATAATATTAGATGTTTCAATGCATCTTCAAGTACTTGTGTTGATTTCAAACTTTAAATTAGAAAAAAGAGCATGTAGATTGATGTGGTTTGTATGTAGATAATTTCATCTCTGACTTAATGGTTTAATGCTTTATGTTTTCTGCTGTAATGGTTAATCACTAAACAAACACAACAAGGCGAGTAAAAATAATTTTTGTAAACATAAACTCTTGGTTTCAAATTCTGCCACTTGGTAAATACATAGTATTACAAAATACTGGCCAGTCTCAGATAGAAGAATGGATTTTGAGGGCAGTATGTGGGACTAAGCTCTAAATTGTATTTCCATATTCCAGATACTTCCAATAATACCAAGATATTTCACAATGCTGATTCCCTGTGGATGTCAAGTCCATGAGTCATCAACTGTTTATATGTATAAGTGCATTTCTAAAGAGCTGTGTTGCTACCTAAGGAATTTTTTTGAGCATTTTTCATCATAACTCCTATTAATCACAGGCATAATGTGTACAAGGTGTAACATAGGTATTTACTGGACCTTTGTGAAGTTATAATTACTAACTAACATTATGCTTTGGTATTTGAAATATTTTCTAACAGTAATAATAATGCAAAATAAGAACAACAAACCTTTTAATGAAGAATTAAGGTTATTTATGGATTTAATTAAAAGTGAAAATTGGCTTAATGCCAAAAAGGTAATTAGGAAAATGTGAATTCATCAGAAATAACCATAAAAATAACCATAAAAATTCCAAGGTGATAAAGGCACAGTGGACTAATACTTCAAGCCACAGGGATCTTTTCTGTTGAAAATAATGAAACCCTTTGCTGTCACACCCCGTTAGTCATGGATTCCTTTAATATATCGTGCCTGACTGGTTTTAATCCTCTCTTTAACCTCCCCCTGCATACCAAGTGACATTATTGTGTCATCTTAAGTTGCTGACACTCCAAGACTGTACCCATAAATGCATCTTTGATGTTGCATAGACTTAAATAGCAGGATGAAGTCCATTTGTAAGAGTGGAATCTCATGTGCTATGCTGATGTTTACATTGAGTCTTCACCCCAGATTCTGTAGATGTTTCTTCAAAGATTTGATTCTTTCCTTGGCTCTCTAAGATAGGATTATGCAATGGGATATAGGTAAATTTCCATCTTTCAATTATTTTAAGAAACTTCTGTTGATGTGTGTCTGTGACTTATCACATAAGACAAAATTATTTTTCTGGAAATCTGTAATGCAGCCACTGTTCCCTTCACTTCCCAACCCTTAGTTATCCGCTAAATGCATTTAACTTGGAATCTCACCAGGTAGCGGCATGAAATCCTATATACCAAGAAGATCCCAGCACAAATGCATTTAATAAAAGTAATTTAATGTATAGTACAATAAAATTTCATTTACTCTACAAAGGAAAGCAGAGCCATGTGAGAGTAAAGATAGTCATGCCTGCCTTAATCACCTTTGTGTATTTTTAAAAATTATTCATAAAAATGAGGGCAAACATGTACACAAATACCATGCAAATATCTGGGAACAGATGCTGAAAATCTTTAGTAAAACATTTTAGGTATAATCTCTATGCACCATAATATTCTGTCTGTCATTTTAAAATATTTTAGTGGGGTAAAAAGCAGTGTTTACTATCATAATTTTTAAAGGAAAAATTGCTGACTCTGCCAGGATTTCATCTTTTCGTTGGGAAGATAGATGAGATTTCATCTAAGGCAGGAAGTCACTGAAAGAAAGCAGTTCCCAAAATGAGAGATTAAAGTGATGCTGAGAGGAATGTTAATGTACAACATGCCCCTCAACTACAATTACTTTTGAAATGTGTTCTCTTTTTAATCTTGTTCTCATTTCAGCTTTGAAAGGACAACAATTTACAAGATTTTTTTATAAGCTGGCTAGACAAGTAAGCCTATTTTCAGTGGCTACACTTTTTTGATTTCAGTAAAGCACAAATGTCTTTCATCTGTGACCTGATGGTACTGCATTGAAAATCAAGAATCCATAGCTCTTTTAGTTTGTAAGTCTTTTTACTGAAGATAATGAAAATGAAATTGTTGTACATTGTGATACCACAACAGCTGGATAGAAGCTTTCTAACATGGTTTTGAGTATTAGAGAGCAGGCATCCTTTACTGCAGTTGCTGGACACTTGGAGGATCCTGTCTCCAATCGAATGCCCGAGTGTCAGATATACAGGGTGTTTATCATACAAAAATGATCACATATTCATTAGCTATACCTCCTTACTGGATATATATGTTTTACTTTATTTTACATAGTCTCATCTCTTATCAAATGTCCTTATAGATTCCTCGGGGTCTGTCTTCAGTGTCCCATGTCCTTTTCAATTGCCTGTTCCTCAGCCCCTGTTTTTGAGTAAGTGCAATATCATTTTTTTGCCTAACTTCGGCTTTGTCAGCCTCACAGAGCTGAGCTGGTATCCTGCTTGTGTTTTGCATGGGTTCTATTTGCCAAAGTTACGTCCTTTATCTATTTCTCCAAGGTTGTGCTGTTCTCTTCTTCTGTCCTTGATAAGAGTAAAATGCTGTTCTGTTCTACAGATATCGTTCAAATCATTCTACTCATTATCATGTCCATATCATATCATTAACAAAATCCAGATCCTGTGCTGTTGGATCATATAAGCACAGGATGGGTCAAGTTGGAGGGGGTTACAGTGGTCATCTGGTCCAACCTTCCTGCTCTGTCGTCCCAGGTCACATTGCACAGGATCGTGTGAGGCAGTTCTTGAATATCCCAAACCAGGGAGACTCCATGGCCTCTCTGGGCAATCTGTTCCAGTGCTCAGTCACACTCACAGCGAAGAAGTTCTTCCTGGTGTTCAGGTGGAATTTCCAGTGCATCAGTTTCTGCCCGTTGCCTCTTGTCCTATTGCCTGGCACCACTGAGAAAAGCCTCTGGCACCCTCCCTTCAGAGACATACAGGCTTTGAAGAGATCCCCTCTCAGCCACCTCTTCTCAAGGCAAACAGGCCCAGCTCCCTCAGCCTCCTTTGTAAAAGGATTTGAAGCCTGTATAGAAGGTCAATACCACTATTATGGTCTCCATGAAGATCCATTTGTTGTGTAAGATAGCACTCAACCTTGTATAAGTATGAGATCATTGTCTTTTCCATTCAAGTATACCAGGAAAAGTAATTTGCTACTTCTGTGGCAGCCACTCTGAAGAAATCTGTGTTTGTAAATCTAAAGGAAATATTTAATTCACTTTCAAATACTGCAGTGCAATTCCTACAGTGAATGGAATGGAATGGACTCTCCACTGGCTTTTTAGATCTTGTCATGAATATCTGTAATGTCCATTGTCTTTCTTAAAGGTTTTCTCATTTTAAAAAGTGCATAAAACAGATAAGAGATAATTTTAAAAGGACAAAAAGTTCTGAATCTGTGCAGCTGTTTGGCAAAGACAAGATTATTCTAGTAACATTGACCTTATCAACTGAACAATGCAGTGGCTACGCTTTTAGATAGTCTTAATTTTATCTATACCAGTCAATAACTGTTGTCATATATAACAGTATTTTAAGCCTATGTGTCCTGCCAAAAAACCCCCAAAACTGACAAACATTTAAAATATTATTTTTATTTAATTAAAAGAAAGTGAAGTAATTAAAGAAACAACTAGTTAGCACCCTCTTTGTGAAAAAAGAGGAAGAAATCATTTGAACAGTTGACATAAGCAAGACAAGCAAAAGGGAATGTAAAAGTCTTAGTCTGGACTTTGAATTGAAGGATGATTTATACCAAATAATTTCCTCATTCAGCTGACCAGCTTTTGATTTTTTGGCAGTTCTAAGTGACTAGATCATGTCTTTGGTCCTTTTATTTAAATTATTTATGGGTCAGATGTATTATTTAGACAAGCTTTGAGGTGCTAAATGTTTACCAGACAACTGCCTCTAAAGCTGTCTGTTCTGTAAACCTGTACCATCTTAGATCATTTAAATGTGTCTGGAGGAACCCATACAAGGATTTGACTGACCAGATAGGTTAACACCTCAGCAGATACTCAGTGATACTCCTAGGTCACTACTTAGTTTTAGCCTAACACAGGAATTATATTTATTTTTCTGGTTTTTTCCCGGGACAAAAATTTTTGTACTCTCTTTGCCAGAAAAAAAAAAATCATAGAGGCATAGCTTCAAGAAAGGCAGTCCAAAGGATATTTCTCAAAATTATCTAGAAATGATTGAGATTTTTAAAAATTGTATTTACATGGTACATGTACCAAATCACTAAGGAATGGAGGGAGTGGCGAGACCAAAGGAGATAAGGGCTATGTGCAGGGCTTCTAGATTGATTTATTTATTCCTGATAATCTTTTCACACAGATTGGTCAGTTGTAAAATAATGTCTGAACTCTTGGGAAGTTAGCAAAACATTATCCCAATCACCAATCGCAATGGATGCTTCCATTGTTCCTGTGATATCTGACTGGAAAGATATTTTTTCAGGTGTTATTTTGCTATGGAGGAATAAAGCACAGAAGACAATCAGAATTTCTCTAATCCTGGTGCTATTTATGCATGATTTCTTCTTGCATTTATTGTTCTTCCAAGATTGATTGTCTAGCAATGGTAGGAAGTTTTTGGAGGGCTATTCCTGATTACAGTAAGAAAAATTGTGATAGACTGCACTGCTGAGATGAAGCAGGCAGTATGACACCTCAGCCATATCCACTCCTATTTCAGACTGTAGTAGAGGCTAGTAGTAGGGCAGACAGTCCATACTATGTGTGGAGCGCACTGAGAACAATGGGATAAGGATTTAAACCGTCTGGCCAAAGCAATAACTGGCATTACCTTGGTGAGTGGTCTCTGCTGAGCTTGATGAGGATTCCCATCTGAACTGAGGGGGCTTTACAGAAGCCACCTTGCTTATAAAGAGGTTAAAGATATTCATCTTC